ACATCGTCGCAATACAAAGCGCGAGATCGCCAAATCGCAGTTTACGACAAACAATAGACGCAAGCGCACAAGATCACCGCGCGCGCATCCGCGCTTTCCCGGTCACACCCTCTCAATGCGAGACAATACTATGCCTCCGATAACGACAATCAAAGGCCCCCATGTCTTTCTCTCGGGGCCCCACGTTGGGCGCCAAATCTTCCCGTAACGACTACGAACTCGGGCGCGGGGCCTCGACCCGTCGTCGCCGTCGTCGGAATCGACGTAGTCTGGAGCGCGACGTTCGCTCCCAGCCACCGGCCTCTGCCGGACTCCGTCCGCTCGAAATCGCGAAGCGAAACACCGAATTAATGGGCGCCAGGTGCGGAGAAGGCCGCACCACCTTATTTCCCGTATCGGGCGGACTCCGGCAGAATCGGCTATCCCGGCGGGGCCGACCAGCTCAGCCACTCTAACCTTGGCAGAGGGGCGCGGTTCTTACGCGGCAATAAGGCCCGTCGACATTACGGACCGGGTGACTCGGGTAAAGCTCTACGGGACGGGAAGGGTAAAATTAAAAGGGTGAGGTAACCTCAGAGCGGCACCAACGGTACATTTTTCATCATGGGCTACCCTTCCCCCCGATAACAATCACAGGACGGAATACGCGGCGGAGAACCGCCGAACGACGGAGAGACGTAGGACGCATGAACGGGACGACGTAAGGACGGGATCACGTAACGGGACAGAAGGGGGTCACGATACCGAGGACGGGAGGACGTGAGAGACGAAAGACGAAGAGGACGAAAGGACGCAAAGACGAAAAGACGCAAAAGACGGAAAGACGCAAAAGACTGAAAGACGCAAAAGACGGAAAGACGCAAAAGACGGAAGGACGCAAAAGACGGGAGTTTACGCGAAGTAGGCCGAGGGTCCACGGCACCCGGTATATGTCTCCATTCCGGCGCGACGCGCGGCACGCAGCAGCCGCATGGGTCCGCGCGTGATCACGTGAACGCCGCGTGCGATTCTGAGGCGCGCGAGACGCGCAACGACACGGCCCTACGGTACGCAACGCGAAGTACTCGATGCAATTAGACGGGACGCAACACGAATTTCCCCCAATACTCGCGATCTCACGGAACGCGACGCGAAATACACTGAGCGCTTAATTAGACGGCACTCGACACGAAATACACGGAACGCATGAGGAGACGGTACGCGACACGGAATGGCGGCCGAGCGGGCGCGAGGATGTAATCGCGCGAGCGGTACGAGACGGCGGGTCACCCGTAGGTGGCCCGCTACCTGGACACGGCGATCCCTGGTCCGCTGCGGAACGACGGTCAGCCGCTGGTCCCCTGGGTTCGGCTCGGCTCTCTCCAGCTCTCATTCCCCGGCTCCTTCAGCCACCAAGAACATCCGCTTCCGCTCGAGTCTGCCACCACTGTGTGTCCCCACGGCGCGCGCCCCGCGACAAGAAGCCCGCAGCGCGACGCTAGCGCGCCACCCCGCCGAGGCCCGCGACGGCGGGGAGATTCCGCCGCGCGGGCCTTATGAAATCGCGATTATCTATTAGTCGCCGCCCGATCTTCTAAATGTCCGAGGGGCCCTTTGGCCTAAGGCCCTTCAGACTTCCGGGGCTCGCCTGGCCAGGGCGAGCCAGTTCCTCAAGACGGCCTATGTCGGCGTTCTAGGCGCCGGGCTCCCGCCGGGCCGCCCCGCCCGCGGAGACCGATCTCATGAAAGCGCGAAAGAAAGAGGTGAGGTGGCTAAGCCGGTCGGTCAACGCCACGCGATCGCCAGCCGGAACGGGCACCCCTGTGCCACGTCACAACATACTTTACGGAGCGTTCAGGGAGCGTTCGAGGAACGTGTATGGGTATTCGAAACCGCAAAGAGTCAATGGAAAGTCATTGGAGTGTCTAAGAAGCGTTAAATCTCTTCATTTACGCTTCTTTGACGCTGCGAGAAGCTTTCAATTTTCATCAGGGATAATACTATGACAAGCTCGTACGTCTTGTCTTGTCAAATTCTCGTAGGCAACTGCCGTCGTTTGGTCGCATAAGCGACTGTTTCGCCACAATTGGCGCCACTGTGAGAGTATCGAATCTATATCGATCAAATTGATTCTCGATCAGTTGATATGTCCAACATGCCGCACGCCTTGAAAGCTGGTGCTTTCAATAGTCAATTACAATTTAGTTTCGAGTGGTAATATACAGAACTTAGATATCGCACGCTTTACAATTCCTTTCGTCGTTTTAATGCTAACTACTCGGGTCAATCCGTCTGTTCCGGGATGCAGCTCCACTATCCTTCCTATATGCCATCGCATCGGAGGTGTATTCGCTTCCTTCAAAACCACCATATCTCCCATTAATATTTCTCGCTTCGCTTGATGCCACTTACCGCGCTGCTGGAGATGAGACAAATATTCTTGACTCCAACGAGTCCAGAAATGTTACTTTGTTTGTGTCAATAATTGATATCTGTTCAATCTATTGGTTGCCAAATCTGCTAGATCATGCTCAGGCAGCGCAGTCAGTGGTTCCCCTATTAAAAAATGTCCTGGTGTTAACACCAACAAATCAGATGGATCAACGGATAAAGGACATAACGGCCGCGAATTGAGACATGCCTCAATTGACGCGAGAAGCGTGTAGAGTTCCTCAAATGTGAATAATCTTTCGCCCATTATTTTGCGCAAATGAGTCTTTACAGACTTGACGCCTGCCTCCCATATACCTCCAAAATGTGGAGTGTATGGAGGAGTAAAGTGCCAACGTATCGATTGAGCTGCTAAAAACTGCCCGATCTCTCTTCGATACTCGTTGTTTTTCACTAATTTATTGAGCTCTACTATTTTATTACAGGCTCCCTGAAAATTAGTCCCGTTGTCTGAGTATAAATCAGATGGTATGCCTCTACGAGAAATAAATCTACGGAATGCATTCATGAATGCCATCGTTGAGAGATCGACAGCCAGCTCCAAATGTATAGCTTTACTAGTGAAGCACACAAACAAACAGAGATACGCCTTTGTGGACTTATTCCGTCCCAATTTTATGCTAAAAGGCCCCGCATAATCCACGCCACATTTAAGAAATGGACGTGCTACAGTTACCCGATCCCTCGGTAAATTTCCCATTAATTGGTCACATGATTTCGGTTTGCTACGGAAACAGACAATGCAACTTTTAAGTATTCGCTTGATGGCTATCCTGCCTGCAAGAGGCCAGTAAGCATTTCGAATGGATGCCAATAACATCTGGGGACCCGCATGTAATAACCTGTAGTGTTCATGACGAATGATTAATTCCGTTAATCTATGTTTAGTAGGCAAGACAATAGGGTGTTTCCGGGAGAATGATACAACTGAATGCTCTAACCTACCTCCTACTCGAATAACATTGTTCTTATCGAGAAATACATTTAATGTATGAAGTTTACTTGAGCGATGAATTTCGCGATTGGATCTAATTGTAAGATCTGCTAGCTCGCGACCAAAAGTTTCTTGTTGCATCAACTTTATAAGGATCATCAGTGATTCATTACGCTCCGCAACAGTTACCTGTCCATACCGAGATTCGAGTTTGTTTCTTGTATTATGCGCAAATCGAGCACAATACGCTATTACGTGAATCAATCTGGTCAAGGATGAATATCTTTCAAAAATGTTAAACCCATCCGACAATACCGCGAATGCCAAGGTCCGTCTTTTTTCTTCAGGTATCTCCGCTACGACAGGTATATTCAATTCGGGACGTTCTTCATCGGCTTCAGTTATCCAATCAGGACCCTGCCACCATAATGTGGAATCAATTAGTTGATGTGGTTCCACCCCTCTAGACACGATGTCAGCGGGGTTGTCCTCAGAAGATACATATTTTCACGTTCCATATTTAGTTAATTCCTGAATCTTAGCAACCCTGTTTCCGACGAATGTCTTCCATCGACTGGGGTCACCGCACAGACTTCTATATAACACTAGACCGCTAACTCCCTTATATTCGTGCATAAAAGTTGGTTCCAAGCATTATGTATTACATAGCGATCATGTGACGTGATCACGTGATGATTCCGGTAATATGGCCGATGCATTACCACATGTGATACCGAGGATACCGAGTGATTCGTGTCTCGATATACACGGGATATAAATTAATATTTACTATGACGGTGCGTTGTTGCATTATAAATTGCAAAAGTACAAAGCGGAACAAAAACTTAGAGATAACATATCATAGGTAAGTGCAATCAATTTAGCTTTATATCTATTTAACTGTATTATATAGAAGTAACCTTATATTTCATGCAAGCAAACTTATATCTTAACAATTATCACATGATTCATTTCCTTTTCTATTCTGTGTGTTACATCTTATAAACTAATTTTAGATTTCGACATTTAAAAATGAGAAAATCATGAAGTACTGGATCGCGGCCACGGGGCGAGATAATTGGATTCCATTTACAGATGCTCGAATATGCAGTTTGCATTTTATAGATGACGATTATAATACAAACAGCAATCGAAGAGATTTAAAACCGAATACAATACCAACACAACATATCATGCAAAAATATTACAATTATTCCAAGAAGATATTGCAAATAAAATTAATAAATGTAAGTATATAGAATATTAAATTATAAACAGTAGTACGCGTGTAATAGTAAGCAAAGTAAATAAAGCGTTTATTACAGATGATTCAACGAACAATATTGTGGACGAAGAGGTGACTAATGAGACACCCACTGGTCATGGCGCAGCAATGTCAAAAGGTATGTAGGAACTTCTTAATCTAATTTACTTTGTTCTGTGATTTAATGAAACATTTAATACGCGTGTAATAGTAAGCAAAGTAAATAAAGCGTTTATTACAGATGATTCAACGAACAATATTGTGGACGAAGAGGTGACTAATGAGACACCCACTGGTCATGGCGCAGCAATGTCGAAAGGTATGTAGGAACTTCTTAATCTAATTTACTTTGTTCTGTGATTTAATGAAACATTTAATACGCGTGGGTAATTATTTAGATTAACACAACCAC